TAAAAATGAAAAATAAAAAAGATTTTTTAAAAAAGGGATTGATAAAATGTTGGTTGAAAAAGGGAGAAAGAAAAATTAAAAAAAAAAGAAAATTAAAAAAATTAACTTTGAAAGACTAAAGAATCATGGGAAAAAAGCCATGGATTCTATGTGCAGTATTCCCCTAGCGCTGGAGTTCTGCCGTTCTCATTGATCGGTAGACTTGGTCTTGGCTGGCTGTTCTCGCTGATCTTCTAGGGAAGGGGCCTGTTGCCGTGGTTCCCAAATATCTTTGCCGGAGGCGGAATTGCCCCTCCCTTGCCGGTCCAGGCTGAATAATCTGCTAGGGTTTGCTCTCTGGAGCTTTTGTTCCCTGCAAGCTTTCCATACAGCTTTGGAAGCCGAGAGTGAAAATGGCCTCCCAATCTCTGCCCCAGAGGAGCCAAGAACTCGGGGCCCTGCTCCTCAGTGAGCCCCCAGAGAAAAGCAGTCACTCACTCCCGTCTCCCCGGTCTCCGGCTGCACTCCGTGCTCACCCGGCCTGTGACCGAGCATTTCTATCTCTGGCACCTGACACCGTATGGAGTCTCCAAACCCAGCAGATCCCTGCAGTGCGCTCCCGTGCCGCTCCTCCCGGGGGCGGAAGGAGAGTCTCCCTGGATCTGCCGCTTGTTGGGTCCCTGCTGGAGGAGCAGTGGCCCGACTGTGCCGTCGATCACGGTTTATGGCAACCCCGAGCTGAGAGCCCACTCCTCGGCTCCATCTCTGCAGCCAGCTTCCCCGCTCTGATACCTGGGAGCTCTGCCGCACTGAGGCACACCCTGTCTTTCTGTGACCCTGAGGGTCCTGAGACCACACTGTCCCCGCGAGAGTTCCACACCCCGCTTAGCCACTGGAGTGACGTCCCTCAGCAGAGCTGACTTCTAGAAGTTCCGATTTTGTGCTCCAAGGCTCTATCACTTGCCAGAAGCGGCGGACGGAGGCCCCCTCCCCCACCATCTAGCCTCCCGAATATTGCCTCGGATTCACTTCTCCGCACGTCCTACCTTCTAGAAAGTGGTCGCTTTTCTGTTCAGAGAGTTGTTGCTATTCTTTTCTTTGATGTCCTGTTGAGTTTGTAGGTGTTCAGAATGGTTTGATCCCTATCCAGCTGAATTCCTGGGACCAGACGAAATCCAGGTCTCCTACTCCTCTGCCTTCTTGCTCCTCCCCACTCTTATCATGTTCTTTTTTCGAAGGAGTCTGTCCTACCTTGTTCTCATGGAACCCACAGTTCTACTGGCCTACTTCCAGTTCCTTATTTCATCTGGATCCTGTGCTCTATTTTGAACAAGTTTTTATAACTTTGATCTTTCCCTAGAACTCTTCTTCCCTATCCTCCCTAGAAATTTAAACCTGGCTTTTGTGGACAGTCCTTTTTTTTTTTTTTTTTTTTTTGCATGGCCATTTCAAGAAAAAGTACTGAATTTTTCTAATTCTAGATATTTAAGATACAGTGTTATATTAGTTTCAGTTGTACAATACACTGATTGAACACTTATATACATTACTTAGTGTTCATCAAGATAAGTCTGCTCTTAATCCCCTTTATCTGTTTCACCACTCATCCCTCCACCTGTCTCCCCTCTGCTAACCATCTGTTTTGTTCTCTATATTTTAGATTGTTTTTTTGTTTTGTTTTGTTTGCTTGTCCCTTTTTTTTCTTTTCTTTTCTTTTCTTTTTTTAAAGCTCCACACCCAGCATGGAGCCCAATGCCGGGCTTGAACTTATGACCCTGAGATCAAGATCTGAGCTGAGACCAAGAGTCAGACACTTAAATGACTGAGCCACCCAGACACCCCAACTTGTCTGTTTTTTTCTTTGTTCATTTGTTTTGTTTCTTAAATTCCACGTATTAGTGAAATCATGTGGTATTTGTCTTATTCTCACTGACTTATTTCACTTAGCAATAACTTCTAGATCCATCCAATGGCAACATTTCATTTTTTATGCCTGAATAATAGTCCATTATATATATATCTGTGTGTGTGTGTATAGTACATCACATTCATCTATCAGTGGATCTAAATTTATTTTTAAAAATTTTTTAAAGATTTTATTTATTTATGAGAGAGAGTGAGCATGAGTGGGGTGGGGGCAGAGGGAGGGGAAGAAGCAGATTCTCTGCTCAGTCTCAGGACCTTGGGATCATGACCTGAGCCAAAGGCAGATGCTTAACAGACTGAGCCACCCAGGCACCCCTCGATGGATCTCATCTTAGATTTAAAGGACAGTTGATGTGTTCCTTTGTTGACCACTGTCAATTCGGTGATTAGAGTGCCGCCTTTGTGCATCAGTTCCTTCTCCTCTCTTACACTGCCACCTCCCGTTTCTAAGTCTTGGTGTTGTTTGATTTACAGGACATTGCTCCAACTTCCTCAATTATGTCAGCATCAGACCTGGAACTGTCCTCTCCACCCCACACTATGTGATTTATAATCTGCTCTTAATTCATGTTTTTGAGTTTCTGATACTCAGAACTCATTATTTTTTAACTTGCTCAGCTCTGTCAACCAGAAGCATTCCTAGATCTCAAATACTGAAAGCCCTCTCTCTTTTCCTTACTCCTCTGGCAATTTTTTTTTCTTTCTTAAATTCAAATATTCCTTCATTCATATACTGTCTCTTTTTCTCTCCTTTCTCTCCCTCTTTCAACCTCTCTATGTCAATAGATGGTCTTGCCATTGGATCTTAACTCCCTCAACTTTACCCCCTCACACACAATAATTTTTCTTTATATTTATCACCCATCCTTTCCTTCATTTCTAATCATAGAGAAGGAACTATTTTCCCTCTTTAACATGGCTAACACTACCAGAGTTCTTGTTCCCTTTTTCTCTTGTATTTGTCACTCTCCCTCTCCATGTCTTTCTTCTACTAGCATTAAAGATGAAAACAAAACAAAACAACAAAACAGTAACAACAGCAAAAATCCTTGTTAAAGGTTCACCTTCACTTTCAAACTATGCCAGCCTTCTTAGAAGAGTAAAATTTACTAGTTATTTTACTTCTTTCTCTTCAGTTCTTACTGGAAGTGTTTGCTTTCTTTTATTGCCTTCCTGAAATTTTTTTCTAAGGTCATCAGTGACTGTTCAGTTCTTAATTTTCCTTCTTCCCTGAAAAGGTGGGACAAGGCTCTCCTTCCTTTTTCTCTTCTTCCTTGACTTCACTGATGGCCATCCATATTTTGTGCAAACCCCCCTTATCAAATAAATACACCTTTTAGGAGATAAGCAAACTGTTTTATTGACTTGTTGTAGCAAGAGAGACCACACAGATGATTCTGAAGTGGTGCCTCTTTTGAGGAAATGAGTTTTGGGTGTTACTGATTATATGTTGAGCTCTGAATTTCTAAGGTCAGATACTAGAAGTGAGGCAAGTCTTTGGATTGGTTGATTTTTTGAGGTAATATTTGACACACACAATGTATGGTTGTGATTGAAAGGAAAGGCCTGTTGGGGCCCAAGACACTCTGCATTTGTAACTATAACTGAATGGTGGTAGTTTTTCCGGTTCTCAGTCATGCATAAGTGGTGGGGTGGTTATTCTGGTTGTCATTCTCAAGCACATCTTCAGAGAATTTTTAATGTTTTACTTCCATTGCAATTGCCCTGGTTTCTAATTTTGACTATGGCAGTAGCAAAACAGGTCTCACTGCCTTGGGGATCTTTTCATAGTAACTCATGCTCCAAAACCAGAGCCATCATTCCAAAATACAAATTCAAACATATTTTCTACTGAAAACCATTGATGGCTCCTTTTATGTATAAAATAAAAGCCCATATACTGAATGCAGTATTCAGGCCCTTTTACAGTATGACCTGAACCCCAAGTTCTAGTCCTTATCTATCTGTTGGCCTATCAGTCCCCTTCTTCACCTCCCTCTCTTCTCCCCTCCACTCCCATTCTCACTTATCTCTTCTCTTCCTTCTCCCCAAACTATACTCATATTATGGAAGTATAGTGACATTTCACACTGTACATTTTGGCCTGTATGCCTAAAATAATTTTTGTTTCTTCTTTGAATGTTGTTTCCGACCCTTACCTTTTATCTGATTATTACTCTACAGGGTATGTTAGTTTGCTAGGACTGCAAAACAAAACAGTACAGACTGGATGACTTAACAGAAATTTATTTGCTGTTTTAGAAGCTAGACATCCAAGATCAAGGTGTCCACAGGTTTGATTTCTTCTGAGGCTTCTCTCTTGGCTTGCAGATGATCATCTTCTTGCTGTGTCCTCACATGGTCTTTCTACTGTGTGTGCACATTCCTGGTGCCTCTCTGTGTGTCCTAATCTCTTCTTGCAAGACACTAGTCAGATTGTATTAGGGCCCACTTTAACAGCCTGATTTTAACTTAATTACCTTTCTAAGGGCCTTGTCTTCAAATAAGTCACGTTCTGAGGTACTGGAGATTAGGGAGTTACTACATGAACTTCAGGGGGCTACCGTTCAGTCCATAACACAACCTTTCCACATTTTTCCTGTAGTAATTAACCCTCTCCACAATCCCATACACTTCGTACCACTTGTACGCTATTATCTGCCTTGATATGGAGTTGTTCATGTTTGTCTCCTTGTGTGGTGTGTGGGTTTCTTGAGGACAGAAACTGTCTCTTATGCAACTTCATCTTTCCCTGCTCTCCATATTAGAACCAAAGAGGGCTTGATTATTGGCTAAATTAAAGAATTCAGTGTGAATCAGGCTTGAATATCTAATAATGTATTTTTCAGAATTTTGAGGAGATTGACATAAAAATATATGAAGGGAATGTATTATATTTCCTATTTTAGAAGTCTTTGGGCATAGCTTGAGATTTTTATCTTACGTTCTTAAATTATACATTGTATAAGTAATGTCAGTTTTATAGGACCTCATATAACTCTCTTGTGGTCTTTAAGGTGTAATCATATAATTGACTTCTATAAGCTACCTATCAATTCTTTCAATTTCATTACTTCCATTACATTTTTTTTCAGATAAAGATGAATGCCGTGTTTCATCCAATACTGAAAATTTGAAGTTTAGAAGACATTTGCTAAGTCAAATCACTTCAAGTAAGTCTGCTCGTATCCATTTTAATGCCAGCTTAAGATTGATTTAACATGTAAAGAATTAAGTCCAGTACCTCTGACACTTTCCCAACTCTCAAATTTCTCAGAATATCTTAGAGTCACCTTATATATTGCATCATTGGTCTTGGAAAATAGTAGAAAGATGATTTCTTAGTAAATTTCATATGCTTATTAAAAATGTAATGTTTAAACTCTTGGTATTATTTTTAAAATGCGATTAACACCTCAAAATCCTCCTTTATTTTGCATTAAGCCTAGTCATCAGGTCCTGACTGTATGCCAAACTTAATATTTTTAAAGGTGGTTTTTCCATTATAGCTAATACTATGTTTTTCAGATTTTTAAGGCTTTGTATGGCTTTTCTAAATGATTTATATGTTTGTGATTATTGGAGGGAGATATTTAGTAATGAACTAGTACTTGAACCTTAAATGTTTATTTATTCAAAAACTTAGCTTTGAAAGGTCATCTTAACCAACTTCAACTAATATAATTATCTCTAATGGTCTTCTGTCTTCATTCACTCTTCCTCCATCCTGTATTCCACTGCTGGATAGATCGGCATATAGAACTCCAATACTTTTAAAGCACTTTAATGGCTGCCCACTCACCATTGGATAAAGTCCATGTTCCATTGCCTGGTATTCAAAGCCCTCTACCCAGCTCCTAAAAATATCCATCACCTTAGCCAACTGGACTCTTTCCTCTTCTCTGAATTCTCATCATTTTTCATGCTTCCACGACCTGATGTGTACTGTATTTCTTGATTTTTTTTTTTTTTTAAAGATTTTATTTATTTGACAGAGAGAGACACAGCGAGAGAGGGAACACAAGCAGGGGGAGTGGGAGAGGGAGAAGCAGGCTTCCCGCGGAGCAGGGAGCCCGATGCGGGGCTCGATCCCAGGACCCTGGGATCATGACCTGAGCCGAAGGCAGACGCTTAACGACTGAGCCACCCAGGCGCCCCTCTTGATGTTTTTTTCTATGATGTTCTCTCCTTCGCCCTCACTGTGTCCTCTGTTTATTGAAATCTTGTGCAAACCCTGAAGGCTCAGCCAGGTGCAAGCTCATCCGTGGAGCTTTCCCTGATTGCTCCAATTGAACCACTAGCTTTCTCTGCTGACTTCATCTAATATTTTGTTTTTATCATTATCATAGCACATTTTACCAGGCAGCTTTATTATTTGTGTTTACTTATCTCCCATCTTAGGTTGTAAGGACTATAGAATCAAACTTCTTGTCTTGAGTAATTTTTGTGTCTCCCAGCATTCAGCATAGCCTCAGTAGTGCTCAGTAAATATTTGCTTAATAAATTAATAATGTGCCTGGATTTTTTTTTCATCGTCCTCTCTGTATTTCATCCTTATAGTCACATATGGTCCATGTTCATGGCAATTCTTCATTCCTGTTACGCACTCCTGGCAAGCCTCCACACTGCCATCTTATCCTAGGAAAATACTAACCATGGTGTAATTAACAAGATATAGTCAGTTCTGAATCTATGAAATAAATTGGATTCCAAAAGTTCATATCTAATTCTGTTGTTTGGAATGGAGAAAACATTTTCCTAAAAAAAACAATGTTATAAATAGTGGTTTGGTTCTCAGTGAGTCCTCCCAAGACTGTTTAACTCATAAGTACCAGTGCTACTTGAACTACGGGAAGTCATCATGCATGACACTGTTTTGTAGAGAAATTCTAGCTCTGAGAGTGGAATTACATCTCCCGTGCCCTAGAAACAGAATAGTACCTTTCTGGGCAGCTTGAGCAAGAGGAAAGCCTGAGCTGGAGCTCTGGCACTGCTCGGCATATTGGATGCTCTCCTGCCAGTAGTTTTTGGTTTTCAGTATTTGCATAAGAGACATTTACCATAGGTTATTGTTACTCTTATGTCTTCTAAATTGAGGGCAAGGGAACACTTGCTCTTCTGGTCCTCCTTGCAGTAGATGAGGATAGTAATCAGCTATCCTGATTGTCTTTTTTTTTTTTTTTTAAAGATTTTATTTATTTATTTAATTGACAGGGAGAAAGAGAGAGATAGCATGAGAGGGAACACAAGCAGGGGGAGTGGGAGAGGAAGAAGCAGGCTTCCGGCCGAGCAGGGAGCCCGATGCGGGGCTTGATCCCAGGATCCTGGGATCATGACCTGATCTGAAGGCAATCGCTTAGCCAACTGAGCCACCCAGGCGCCCCCTGATTCTCTCTTGAGTCTTCAACTGTTTTATCACATGGGTGGGTCATTTTAAGTCATGTATTGACAGATTAGAGCTGTTTTACTTCTTCCTTTCTGTTGTTCTGTGAACTTACGGGAATTGAATACATAAATACGGAAAATACTTCTGTCTGTAGGAGAAACACGTTTATTAGGCATCAACCAACCCTATGTTTGACATCATATCAGGTTTTGTGGACTAGTGATTATCATTTCTACATGGGCGTAGTGATGCTGCCCATGAAAAACTCATCAGTGTGTGCATAAACAATGCTGAAGGTTGATAACTTATGTTGTCAGGCTATAAGAATACACATCATAAATTTTAGAGACTTTAATTTGTTTAGTCATCATAAGCTTTGAGCACATGAGTGAATGTCTGCTTTATGTTTAATGCTTTCATAGGTTCAAGGGGCTAGGGAATGAGAACCAAAGATACTATGAAAAGTTTACTTTCCCTCCAGGAGCCAGGAATACAGGGAGTGAAGTATGAAAAAACACTCACAGTGCAAACAATATGTTATTAATTGCCATAAAGTACTTCATGAAGGTAACAAATGCTCTTGGGGTTATCAGAATGGCAATATTATTATGATTCACAATGGTTGTAAAGATGGTGGTGGGATTTCAGTTAGTCTTAGAGGAATGGTAAAGATTTAAATTTAAATAAAGAGCTAGGAGACGAAATGACATTCCAGGTTGGATTAACAGCATGAAAGGAAAACTAGAGATACAAACAAACAAATCAGCATTACTGGCTGGAACAGAAGGTTTGTTCATGTTGGGTGAAATAATAGGTGAGAAAATTACACCAGTGGTTCAACGCTGGCAGTGAATAAAAGTCATCTAGAGAAATTTTTGAAAATACAAGTCCCTAGATCTTACCCCAGAACTAATAAATAGAATTTCTGGGGCACAAGGTGTAAACCTGTTTATCTTTCAAAGCTCCCCTAGTGGTTGAGAACCACTGAATTAGAAGGATGGGTCAAATTTAGGAGAGCCCTGAATGCCTTGCTGAGGAGTTGGGCCTGTGTGTCTCAAGCAGTGGGAAGCCCTCAGAGGTTTCTGAGCTGGGTGACATGATGGAATTCATGTTTGCCAAGATAAATGATTCACAACTGCATGTGAATGGAAGAGAAATAAGAAACAGCTTGAATTAGAGCAGTGGTGGCGGGAAAATAGAGAAGGTCACATTTTTAAGGTTACTTAGATGAGTGGGAGTTGGCGATGTCAGCCTTGACCTCAGCATGATTTGTTTTATAAACTGATTATACAACTTCACCCTCATTAATTTGATTTCTTCTCTCTTACAACCTGGCAACTTAAACAGTAATTTCAGCCAGTTTGCATTTAATGGAAGGAGACCATTGTCTACTCATGTACACATCTAACTCATAATAGTAAGTGAAGTTATGTGTATGAGGAATATGACCTTTAACATAATCATTATAAAGCATTTAATAACCACCCACATATGCAATAACACAACCCCAGTTCTGCAGGATTGTGCCAAGAGCTGGAGTCACAAATATAAGACAGCTATTGGCACATAATTCCCTAGCATTAAGTTGAAATTTGAAGAAATATTCTAAATCACGTTATGCATTTTAATATTTTTAGCATCAGATTTGCTAATTGCTTAATTTTTGTGGTAGTAGGTCTGTGAATACCTCCTGACGTTAGCAGCTCTGAGCTAATGCTTCTTGCCTGCCCACACCCACAATTAGTATAGCCCCTTGCCTCTTATTCAGGTCCATCCCCTCCTAGTGTCGGTCATGCATGCCCCTACCTCACTCATCCTCACCCAAGTGAGCCAGCAGACCGGAGGTGTCAAAGGAGTCAGCATTTAAGTTCTTTCATGGCACCGACAAGCCACATGATCCTGGGGACTGTCACTCCTGGCTGCGGGACACGACAGTTGTTAGGATAACCGACATTCGGAGTCTCAAACAGTGCCATGAGTTGGAAGCCTTTCATGCCTCCTTGATATGTTTTGAATATTTTGTGTTTGGAAACAATGAGGCATATTTATGATATGGCAGAGAGTAAGTTCAGGGCGTGATGTTTTGATGTGACCTGTCCCCTTTAAGAAAAGACTCAACATCGTGGACTTTTTTTTAAAAAAAAAAAACCACTCACTCTCTTGGCTGTTCTGTGATAGCACGTACATGACAACAACCTCTCCTTTGGTCTTCTTTGCCTGTGACAATGAATTTATTATTGTGTCATCAGTGTCTTGAGTTACTTTTCTCTGGCTACTTAGGTTTTCACTAATCATCCAAATGTTTAAGCAGAGAATGTGTGGTCTACTTAGATCTAAGGGATCTTGTCATCGGAGAAAGCAAGGGAAGGGAATGGACATCAGGTGAGTGCCCACTCTACGCCATGGTGTTTGAACTCCCCTTTCTGAGTGAGAAGCTTCTGATTTACAGAGGCTTGAATGGTTTATCTAACATCAGAAGTTAAGGGCAGTTTTGATCGCAGTTCTAGCTATCCTAATGGCTCAGCAGCCTGGTCTTCCGAATCTGCATGCCTTATTTGTGGGAAAGGTCACTGAACTCAGCATCGGGGGTGTGCGTGCAAGCTTCTACCTCCATCACTAACAACACTGAACAAGTTACTTAAGGCTCACAGCTTCAGTTTCTTCATCTGCCACAGGGGGATAAAACTGGCTTTACTGACCATTTGAGGTTTTTGAGAAACATAAGTTAGTGACTGTCGGTATGACTTTACAGGTTTGGAAGGGAAGATTGAGATATTTTTAATTCAG